CGGTCAGCGGCGCCCGCCAGCCCGCGCCTCCAGGGAGCTGGGGAACCGTGCGGGGCGCCCCTCTTTCGCACTCACCCACAGCTCCGTGCCCCAGCTCATGGCGGAACTTGAGGCGACTCAGATCGTCTGGCTGATCCGCTGTCTGTGCGTCCGTCGGCTTCGCAGTCAGTGTGTCCGACTTCTTCCTCTGGCTAGCCGGCAGGCTCGCGTCTGAACGCCTTTGCCTCGAAAGGTGCCGCCACCGCCGGGTTCCCCAGTGAGTGAGAGAGACGCGACTGGAGAAGCCGCCGCCGCGTCCCCGCCTCCCGGAGCCGGGAGGGAGGGGGCCTGGGCCAAGGGAAGGCGGGACGTGGAGCGGGGAGGGGGCGGGGCGCGGTGCACCCTGGGATCGGGGCGGACCCGCGCTCGCTTGGCTGAGACCCGCGGGGTCCCCTCGAGGGTGTCCTCCCCACTTGCGCCTCTCACGCACGAGGTCTGTTCTCTGTGTCCCTTGGTAGGCAGACCGCCCCACTCCTGTCGCCACTCGGATTCCTGCCTCCAAGATGGAAAGGGAGGGAGGAAAAGACGCCCACTGCCCCTTCTTTGCCCGGAGCCCCCTTAACTGAGGCAACTGCAGACACCCGCATTTCCCGCATGTGGTTTCCTCGTCTTCGGAACACCCTGACAAAGAAACCTCGTCCAAATCCTCGGGTTTAGATTGAGGAGGTGTGGTGGGTGGGTGTGTGGGGCGCGGTGTTAATTAAAAATCTTGTTGGTTAAGGAGATCTCTCATTTCAGGCCTGATGCTTCGATCTTAAGATTCTTGGGAATCATTGAAACGTGGAATGCTGAACGTCAAATGCGAATACAGCATGCCTCCGATTCTCTTTTTAATAAAGTATTATAAGTTATTTCAGAAAATCATGAAAAGAGACAAATCGAAAATTATTTGGGGAAGTTGTCACGGCATGAGATAGGAGTCCATTTCTCTTATCTCCTATGCAGGTGGTCACCTGCAGAAGATGAGACACGAAGAAGTTTGCCTGATTTCTAGGATGGGCACCTGTGGGTGGGGGTTCAGTGGCAGGAGAGGCCAGGTGTCTCCCTGATCGTGCAAACAACCTATTAAGAACTTCTAATATCATCTATCTCAGAATATACAAACCTTGGAGACAGGTCCATCACTTTTTTCCCCCTCTGTAGAATTGTTTTCCTAACTCCACAATTAGGCAGTCAGCAGTTTGGCAAGTGCTTCTAGATATCAAGTACTTACGCTTATAATTGGTTGTCTCCTAAAACATTTTTCAATCCAGTCAACTAGTAGCGTACTCAGTGAGTAATGACAGCTGGGTGTCCTCCCAACAGGTTCTGTGTCAGCATTTGAAACTCCTCCCCCGACAACACTGGTGAACCAGATTCTTCTGCTTTAATCCGGATCCTTGCACTACATAATTCCCCAGTAGAATATAAAGTCTTACCTCCAAGATAAGCATTTTTCTTCCAAATTTTCTAAACATATTCCACACTTAAAACAATTTATTTCTCTTCAAAAAAGTTAGATTTGTGGGCATCAAACTTAATATATCAAACATATACATTTTTCAATATTCTCCATTACTATGAATTTAGGCATAATTCATATGACTAACTTAAATTGATAATCTCCTAAGCAATTATTTGTAACATACAAAATTATTTCATATTAAAATCACTATTTACTTCAATGTTTTCAAGCAAAAGTGATTAAAACGTGAAAACTAGGGCCAGGGGAGTAGCTCAGTGATAGAGCACTTGTCTAGCATGCTCAAGGTCCCAGGGTTCAATCCCTAGCACAACAAAAGAAAAAAGAAAATTCTCACAATGAAGTGTTCTATTTAGTGTCATATTTTGTTACAAAAATAAAGATTAATCAGATTTCAAAGTATTCCTTTTTATAACATTTCTGAAACTATATAGGCATTTTAGCTGACAGATGCACAAAGTTGTTTTTTGCACAAATTCATGTATATTATCAGCATGGCAATTTATAAGACTGAGTTTTTACATAATCAGAGTTATTTGGATTTAGTTATTTTTATATGTGATTAAATCTTTATGAACCCATGGGAAGGCATTTTGTAGCAGTTCAAACACATGGTTTTTATCTCTTAAGTTAAAACATAACTCAAATCTTGTTTTGTATTTTTGTTTTGGTTCTGTGGAATGAACTTGGAGCATTCTACCACTGAGCTACATCCCAGATCTTTATACTTTTTGAGACAGGGTCTCAGTAAGTTGTCCAGGCTGTCCTCAAAATTGGGATCCTCCTTCCTCAGCCTCCAGAGTTGCTGGGATTACAGGCTGATTACTCAAATCTTGAAAGAAATATCTCTTTGGTATAACAAATATATTAATTTATACCCCCATATCATAACTTGAATCATTAAGTTATACAAAAACCTGTCATTTATACTTTTGCTATTTGACTTCTTGGCAATCAATTACCATGTAGTTACTATTTCATATTAGATATTTTATAAAGTAATCAACACTAAGAAAGAGTTATAGGAATAATTATTTTACTTGTTATTAATAATTAATTTTTATTAATAATTATTTTCACAATGAAGTCACTCTACTGAATAAATCAATAGGCTTTACTTTGCCATGCTCTTTAACAATTTAAATTCCAGTGCACTCTTTTAATTATGAAAAAACTTTTATTGATGTATTTTCTCTCCAAACTTAAGTTGAATCTGGTCTATAATAAACCATTGAAGTGTTACCTTTTATAATTTTTTTATCCTGATTGGGTGTTTCAAGTTTTTATTCATTTATTTACTTATTTACTTACTTACTTACTTGTAACAGGGATTGAACCCAGGGGTGCTTAACCACTGAGCTACATCCCCAGTCTTTTTTATTTATTTATTTATTTTTAATTTTGAGACAAGGATCTTATTAAATTGCTTAGGGCCTCACTAAATTTCCTAGGCTGACCTTAAACTTGTGGTCCTCCTATCTCAGCCTCTGAAATCACTGGGATTACAGGGCTTTGCCACCATGTCTGGATCAAGTTTTATTTATTTAGTTAGTTCATTGTAGTTGGACACCATACCTTTATTTTATTTATTTTTATGTGGTGCTGAGGATCGAGCCCAGAGTCTCACATGTGCTAGGTGAGTACTCTACCACTGAGCCACAACCCCAGGGCCTCAAGTTTTATTTTTAATTGATACATAATAATTGTCCTCTTACAATTTCTTGTTATAAATATTTAGCTAATGCCACTTTCAGTTTCAAAATTTCCCAGCATGAATTCTTTTTTTAAGTCAGGATGTAAAACATAGTTCTTTGAATAATTTACTGTTCTAAATACATCAACCTCCAACCATAAATCAATCCCTTGGTTACAAGAAAAAAATAAAGCTACATACCAAATTGATATCCCTAGTATAGTATGTATGTATCAATGTCCCATCCCATGATTAGTTACCAATAATATAGAATTTCCACTACCTAAAGGCAACAATCTCTAGCATAAACAATAGCAACTTACTTTTTTCTCATTTAAATATCTTAAGACTGTGTCTTAAAAGTAAAACTATAGGGGCAGTTCCAAATAAAATTGTCTAAGTAGCTAGGTCAGAAAATCAAGCTAAAAACTGTTAGGAAGAGTAGTATCAAAGGCTGTATACTTGGCATCTCCATTTTAATGCTGCAAATGAAGCACCAGAGAAATGGAATAATGCTAGCATACTGATTCCATGCCAGCTAAATAAAGAATAGCACTGGCTAGTTAATAGTCATCACTACTTTCTGTCCTGCCAGTTTTCCTAACTAAGAATTGGAAGAAATTCAAACTTCAAGGGCATAGTTTAAGGTGGCTCACTAGAGGGAAAAAAAAAAAGAGAGAGAGAGTGAGAAAGAGAGTAGGAGGGAGAAATAGACTATACCTTTTGGGATTCTACTGTCCATTATCAAACCTAGTTAAAGAATCTCATGTAATTGCTTTAATGAATCTTGGCAAAAAGAAAAAGAAAATTCTATACAAATCAAATGGTGTCGATCTAGTTAAAGAAGTAACTAATTTCTACTTTTCTATGATAATTGGTTATCTCCCACTGTCTAAAATACTTAAATGTTTTTAAAATTGCACAGAATTTTAAAAACATTTAAGTGTTTATCTAGATTAAATTTTCTTCAAAGTAGAAAACAGTGGAACCAAAGTTACGGATTTATTTATTATTTATTGTATCTTCTGAAACCCATTCAAAATTTCTACTAATTAAATTCTTAAAGTATTCCTATGTTTTGGGGTTTTTTTTCTTCTTGTTGGTTTTGTTTGTTGAGGAGGTTGGCCTGTGTTGACAAATTTCCAGCTATATGAATCAATTAACCAAGAGAACACATGGTTCTCTGTTTTAGGTTTATGGTATTTATGAAATCCAGTTAAGTAAATCATGTAAACTCATAGAAATGAAATGGCTTGTACAGATTCACAAGAGCCAATTGTTAAATTTTTAGGAATTTTGCAAACAGGTTGTTGAAAATGTTGGCTATTGTCAGTCCTAGTGAGAGTATTTACACCACGGTAATCGCTAAACACTACAAATCAGGGCTGTTTTTTCCTTTGGAGAGCTGATTGTTAGACATTAGCTGTCTAAATCCTATATAGTACTAGTGAAGGAAATGAAAATATGCCTTAGTGTGTTGCTATATCAAAATATCACAGACTGGGGCTGGGGTCGTAACTCAGTGGTAGAGTGCTTGCCTTGCATGTATGAGGAACTGGGTTCAGCACCACAGGAAGATAAATAAATAAAATAAAGGTATTGTGTTCATCTACACCTAGGAATATTTTTTTTTAAAATATCACAGACTGGTAAATTATAGTGGAAAAAAATTATTTTCTTCCAATTTCAAGTCCAAGGTCAAGAAGTCAGCGTCCTTTGAGGATCTTTGTGTTACATCAACCCATGGAGGAAAACAGAAGGGCAAGAAGTGCAAGAGAGCAAGAAGGGGCCCGACTCATTTTCATAATAAACCCACTCTGGTGACAATAATCCTACTCCCATAATAACAACATTAATCTATTCATAGGGACTAGGCCTTCATTTAATGGTTGGTTCTCCCTCTCAGCACTGCTACATTGAATATTAAGTTTCCAACACAAGAACTTTGAAGAACACATTCAAACCACAGCAGTCTGCTCCTGGCCCCACAAATTCAT